CCTCTGCTCGTAGCTTCCTGTGTGAAATCGATATCCATTCATGTCGTAGGCATCCAATGACTTGACCCTTTGGTCATAGCCGTTGGCAACCTGTCTCAACTCGGCACTGATAGACGCATCGGTTCGGGCCTGCAAGCTCAAGCAGGATACATCGTTATATTAATCGGACATACGAGCAACAACAAATTGGGCTAAATTGGACGGTACCTTGGTTTTGAACCAGGAAATAAAATCGGGGCTCCCTTGTCCTGCACCCTTGGAAAGAAGGGTATCACATTCCGGCGGGGTTGGTTCCCTTGAATGGGGCCAGTATTCATGAATGAATTCCCTGTAACGACAAACAAGGGGGTTGGATGTAGAATAGTGCGGGATTATTGAAACAAGTCCGTTGAGAACTTACGCAATATATGGGTCCACCTCTTCAAGGTTGGTCAGCACATATAACATGATTTTGTGCCACTCCACATTTGTCAGGGGCTTATTGGTCGATGCACCTGCTCTTCCAAGTTGCCCTCGGAAAAGGCTGAGGCTCGAGGCATTTTTGTCAGCATTGTAACGAGGAGGTGGATTATGCACACTTAGAAGGTTGTCAGAATAATACAATGTTGTGAAGTTTGACACCTCCTCCATAGTGAATGCACTTGCAATGGAAGCCTCAATTTTGCCTTTGTTTTTACACTTTTTCCGAAGTGTCTTTAGGCATCTCTCGATTGGATAGCACCAACAGGCCTGCACGGGCCCCCCATTCATGCCTCATACGGGAGGTGCAATATCAAATGCTGCATCGGATTGAAGAAGCCGGGTGGAAAGATCTTCTCCAACTTGCAAAGCAAGACATGTGCCACTTTTTCCAAGTCAGCAATCACGGTTCGAGATAACTCCTTGGCACAGAGCTGGCAGAAGAAGTAGCTCAACTCTGCCAGCACTGTCCATATGTGCTTAGGGACAAAGCCTCGAACCATCGTCAGAAGAAGCCGCTCAATCCATATGTGGTAGTTGTGACTCTTCATCCCGTTCACTCGAAGAGTAGTTAAGTTCACTCCCCTCCTCAGATTCGCTGCATACCCATCAGGGAACATTAACGTTTGGATCCATTGGAGTACTTCCCTCCTTTGTCTGGGGGTCAAGACGAAATCTGCCTTAGGCCTTTTCCATGTCTTGCCGCCTCCAGGAAAACACATCTCTTGATGTGGTCTATCACACAACTCTGCCAGGTCCACTCTAGCCTTAGGGTTGTCCTTTGACTTTTTAGTTTCCATGATTGTTCCCCAGAGTGCCTCGGTGACATTCTTTTCTGTGTGCATGACATCAATGTAATGTGGCATAAGAAGGTCATCAAAATAGGGGAGCCTCGTCAAGCCCGACTTATGAGTCCACATGTGTTCCTCGCTGTATCCCACGAAGCCATCACCTTCTTGATTCTCCACGAGAGCATCTATCTGAGCATGAACCTCGGCACCAGTCATCATCTGTGGTGCAGGTTCTGTCACTACGACACCTTTCGTAAAGTTCTTGGTGTCTTACCTGAATGGATGCTTGGGAGGGAGGAATTGACAATGTTTGTCGAACAACGAATACTTGCCACCCTTCTTGAGCCAGATGAACCTCAGACGATCCTTGCATAATGGACATGGGAACTTCCCATGGACACACCAACTGGAGAATATCCCATACGCTAGGAAGTCATGCATGGAGTACTGGTACCAAACGTGTATTTTGAAGGGTGTCTTTGTAGCTCTGTCGTATGTCCATACCCCATCCTCCCAAGCACTGACCAATTCATCAATCAGAGGCTCCATGAAGACACCCATCTTCTTCCCCGGGTGTCTAGGAATTATCAATGACAAGAATACGTTCTGACATTCAAATGCGACGCCGGGGGGGGGAGATTGAGGGGGATGACGAACACGAGCCAACATGTGTAGGGGGCAGCCATCAAACCATAAGGATTGAACCCATCTATTGCCAGCACAACATGTACGTTACGAGGCTCTAATGCTTTCTCATGATGAATGCCATCAAAGTGGTTCCATGCTTCACCATCGGACGGATGTACCATCTTGTCAGGATTGTATCGTGTGCCCTGTTTGTGCCACGTCATCTGCTTAGCGGATTCCTCGCTCATGTATAGTCATTGGATCCTCGGCACGAACGGGAGGTACCGTAAGATTTTCATCAGGACAGTAAGCTGCTTCTTGTGGCCATCCCCAGAGTCTACCTCTAGGTACCTGGAGGATTTGCACTTCGGATAGTACTTTTCATGCTCATGTTCTTTCCTAAAGAGGACACACCCATTCGGACAAGCATGTATCTGCTCGTAAGGCATCTTGAGTCCATCAAGGAGTTTCTGGCACTCGTACAGGCTCTTTGGCAGAACGTGGCCCTCCGGAAGCATGCTAGCAATCAAGGCCAACATACCATCGAAGTGTTGTCAACCCATGTTGATCTCGGCCTTGAACCCCATCACGCGTCCAATGGCATCGAGTTGACAAACCGTTGTCCGATCATGAAGGGGTTTCTGTGCCGAAGACATCATGTCATAGAACGCCTTTGCGGATGCCTCCATCTCCTCCGCATGTCCATCAGGGATCTGTACTTGTTGATAGTCATCTAACATGTCTGTAACCCCGCCATCATCATCAACATGCTCGAGGCGTGGTCTCACCACTTCCTCTCTCATACGATGGGCTTCACCGTGGTGGATCCACCGGGTATAGTCCAGCATAAAGCCATGCTTCTGAAGATGTATACCCATGTTGTCCTTCTTTTGCCATTTTCTGTTTGCACACATGCTACAGGGACACTTCATTAGATGCGCTCTATTCGCACCCCTGCCGAATGCATAGTCCAAGAAAGCCTCGGTCTTCTGCCCCCATTCAGTGCTGAAATCACTCTGACTTCTGTATCCCGTGTACATCCACTCACGGTCATCCATCCTCTAAAATAGATATCAACGAGTAACGTAACCATCAACTGCATCTACGTGGTGTTCCTACTATCTAATAGGTGAGGATAGGTCCTAATCCCACCCGCGAATGCGTAGACAAGGTTAGTTTCCATGGTCTACTCCGAGCCGAGACAGAATTTCGGCAACACCTCCCCGCTGTTCTCTAGATACACGTCCTGGCAGGGAGAGTGTGTATCCGAAGAACAACACGGAGGTGATCACACGTGAGATGTCTAGGTTTCTAACCATCCTACGTGACAACGTGCGCGAAATGTTCTCAAATTTTTACCATAGCCTCCACATGTGATGTAAAGAAGCATCACCAAGTTTCATGATTTTCGAACTTCGTTTGCATTTTATATAATTAAAAAACACTTCACCCGCAATTTTGTCGCTATGTTTCGTGCGTGAGATGTTTGAAACTTCGGGCGTGCTCCTGGAAATGGCCTCAAAATACAATAAGTAACGCGAATATCATTTTTCCACTCGTCGAATTCCATGATTCGATGCACCTGCAGTTCAAACTTACATTTCCCGGAAAAATACAATTAAATGAAATAAATTAAGGATATATAGCAAAAAGATCGAGAAATGTGTCAAATCTATGGATGTACTTCAACTTAATGTGTAAGGGTTGAAGAAAAAGTTTGGAGGCAAAAAAAAAAAACTTTGCCGAGTGCCCAACTCTGGCACTCGGCAAAGACTCTTTGCCGAGTGCCTAACGGGGGGTACTTGGCGAAAGCTGACGGCAAGTACCCCCATCAGCTCTTTGTCAAGGGCCGTCCTTTGCCGAGTGCCCGGCACTTGGCAAAGAGGCTCTTTGCCGAGCGCCGGTCTTCGCCAAGTGCCGGTCTTCGCCGAGTGCCCGACATTTAGCACTCGGCAAAGTCGGCGACACTTGGCAAAGCCAGGCTCTCCCGTAGTGAGTAGTCTATCGCATCATTTAGCTAGCATTGCTTCTTCCAGTGGCAACAACATCGGTTGTATGAGGCTTCACATCTATGAATATAATCAAGACTAATTTGCGAAATAGAATTAACAATGAGTGGCTTAAGGACTTGACTTTGTGCTTCAATTTTTTTTTTTGGAAATAAACAGGAGGGTTTTGAGCCTCTACTGTGATTTTATTGGAAAAGACAAACAAAGGTTCAGTACAAAATCACGAAACGAAAAAGGTTACAAAGAAAATAAAGAGCACTTTCTTCACTGATGAGAACGAGATTTTTGAAGGACTTATAATGAGAAAGTTAAGAGAATGTTTCAATCCATGAAAGATGGGAAAATGAGTTTACTTAGACCTCATAAGTGCCTTGACGTTCTTAGTGTATTAGGATTGGTATATATCCAGATGCCTGTCGTCTTTACATTTTTCACCAAGTCTTTTACGATTAATGCCATTTCCTAGTTGATTTGTCTTTCAAATTAACAAGTTCTATACTATAATTCGCAATTGAAACAAGCATCACAGTTGATTCCTCTCTTAAAACGTAATATCTTGATTCTTGTTCATTCTACAACTTTCATTAATGATATCCATGTCAATCCTTTTTTAGCCAAAATTTTATAGTCTCAGTTCACCCCACCTCCATTCTTGGACTGGGTCCGCCACTGTCCGACAAAAAAACATCTTGGTAATGGTCTCGGCTGCAAAGTAATAGACGAGATGCAAACAAGGCATTCAGAAGTGAGCAACTTTTTGGACCACATCACAATTCCACCATTCAGTGACTATTTCTGTCGTATATACTCCACTAGATGATAGATTGTGCAATGATGCATAGGGCACAAATCCAAGAACACCTCGTATATACAACCTAATAACGAATCAACCAAAAAATTAACCAGAAGATTCAGTTAGGTCGTCATTACGCCAATCACAAATTGGGCGACTCCTACCTCTTTGTTTCTTTAATTTCTTATTAGTCAATCTTTAGGTCGTTATACGAGGCTGCACGATCCAATGAATTCTGACGATGCATATGTACGTGGCGATGGCGATGAATGGATGCCCTTCGATCGTCTTGCATGCATGGCCATGGTGCGCGGCCGGAGCTCAGAGCCTGACGAAGAAGACGGCGAGCTCGGGGCCCGTGCCGCCGCCCTGCGGCGCGATCATGTACAGCGACTCCGAGTCCCGGGACCCGATGAAGTGGTCGAAGCAGCCGCGCATGTACGGCACCTCGTCGTCCGCTGCCACCGCCGCGTCGGTCGCCGCCAGCGAGGCGGCCCTCGTCCTCGGGAGCACGCCGGCGCCCATGGAGACCGCCCGCAGCGTCTCCATCACCGTGAGGTCGTCGTCATTGGCCTCGCGCCGCACCGCGTACCCGGTCTTCTTGCCGTTGCAGAACATGGTCCACGACGGCTCGTCCAGCAGCGGCGGCGCGCGGCCTCCTCCGCCGTGCTTTGCGCCGGCCGAGAGCGAGACCGCGCGGCGCTCGGTCTCGAGGACGATGCGCGCGCCGGCCGGGTTGCCGAGCTCGCGGAGCAGCGCGTGCGTCTGGAGCGCCAGCTCGACGACGAGGCTCGGCAGGCAGCGCGGCGTCTCCTGCAGCGCCAGCACGACGCGGCCCCTGCGGTGGCCGTAGAGAGTCCCCGTCACGCGGCGGCAGGGCCGCGCGGCGCCCGTGAAGGACACGCCGCCCTTGGGCGCGGGCGCGGACGACGAGCAGGAGGAAGCCGAGGACGACGCGGCCGCGATCTCGGACGGCGTGCCGACCTGCTGCATCCGCCCGCAGCGCGGCGTCAGCGTCAGGAGGGGCAGCGCGTGCCGCAGCCTCTGGAGCAGCCGGGCCGGGCGGGACGACGCGCCGGGGTGGCGGCCCCCCGCCCGGTGCCGCCGCGACGGCGGCTCCTCCAGCGTGTGCCCCGGCGTGCGGTGGCCGCGAACGCCATCGTCGAGGGAGGAAGCGGAGGCGGAGGCGGAGGAGGACGACGTCGTCCCGGTGCCGGCGGCGGACGGCGGCAGGCTGTCGCTGGGGCGTCCAGGGGCTGGGTGGATGGCGAAGCCGCCCATAGACGCGCGCGCGACGGCCGGCGAGGTGTCCGACGACGAACGGTGGGTCGATGCGATGGGCAGCCGGGCGAGGCGCGGTGCGGTCTGGGTGGGCGTTAGTTATCCCCTGCGCCGGGAAACGCGCGCGTGCTTGATCGGGGTGCTGGAACGGGCGGCGGTTACGCTTTGTCGGGTCGCCGTGCTCCCCGTGCCTGCCCTGCCCCGCTGCCTGCTTTCGCGGCGCTTCCATTCTGAGGCCTCCATTCTCCGTGTCGTTTTTCTCGTGTGGGCTTGTAGCAAGCAGACCGACCTCGTGGAGCACGAACACACGAGGAGAGACATGGCTATGGGCTGGGCGCATCGCATGGAATGCTGGTGCGGAACGTGGGCCTAAATTGGGTGAGCTTGAACGGGCTTCCAGTCCAGCAGGCCGTTTCTTTCCTTCCGTGCTCCGCGGAACCTTGGGCCACTTTTGTTGCTAAAAAAAAAATTCTAGATTTACTTTTGCAACACCCAAACAAAACACGTGCAACCTACGTCTAAAACAGATGAAGCATTTAACATACACTTGCAATATAGTCATTGCAACATATGCAATATCCAGATCTACTTTTGCCACACCCAGATGAAACAATTGCAACATACGTCTAAAACAGATCAAACATTTGAAACATACACTTGCAACATACGTTGCAATATACGTGTGTAACCATTGAAACAAATGCAATATCCTGATCTACTTTTGCAACACACATAAAACACTCGCACCATATGTCTGAAAAATAAAACATTTGGAACATACTACACTTCAAACACACATGTATATCATTGCAACATATGCACCATCTAGATCTAATTTTACAACATCCATATGAAGCACTAGCAATGTACATATGAAAGAACCTGAAACACTTCAAACATACGTTTGTAACATGCGCTTTCAGCGCAACATCTCCTTGCTGCTTGGGCGAATGGAGGCTCGTCGACGTGTGGACCGTGGAGTTCACCGGTTTAGAGTTCGTTGGTGGCACAGAGCTGGGCGGTACCGCGGTAGCGCACAGAGGGCAAGGTGGGAAGGGTGCGACGGACGACGCAGAGGGTAGGTGGGATGACCGGTGGCACGTTCGTGGTGGAGCCCAGTCGCAGCGTGGACGCGGAGCTAGGTGGCGGCGCACAGAGGGAGAGGTGGGGGCTGCAAAGATGACGGGGATGACACGGAGGATGGGTGGGATGGCTAGCGGGCTCCCAGATGTCATGGAGAACACCAAAGCGACACGGTCATGGTGGAGCCATGGAGGGCAGAGTCGTGGCACGGTCGTGGTGGAGCACGGTCATAGCGCTACGGATGTGGCGGGCTGGACGAGCGGATACGATTGGGGGCGTGTGGACAAGCAGATACAAGTGTTGGGCTGTCGGATGTCGCATCTCACCAACGGAAGCGTCCGTATGGCCGGGAAGCCGGCGTCCGGAATGGACGCCTACAGGAAGCATTTCCGCAAAGATATACGCTATATAGACTGAGCTTATAATATTGGCCAAAGAGAACAGTGAGGCCTATGCAATGAATAAAAGAACATTGAGTGTCTGTGGCATGGAATAGGTGGTTCGAGCTGACGATTGATGTGGCACGGAGCTTGCTCAGCTACCACATTCAGCGTGTGTGTACGCGAGAGAGATTCAGAGATCCATGCCGGGGTTCTTCCAAATCGTCGGACGACTGGCATCTCCTCATCTTTTACACTGACGCGACTTCAACCGGACTCATATAAGACTTGATCAACGTTATTTCTATATGTCACTGTGATAGGACTACTCATTACTGAATTTGGGGAAGACTAAAAACAGGCAATTAGCAGGCAATATTTCCTCGTCCCCCTACCTTTCATCTTTGATTATTTGTCTTTTATTTTCTTCATTTCTTTTTTCGATGTTGATTCAGAGCTTGGATATTGCAGTTGTAGCCAGATTTCAGAAAGTGAGGAACTCACCTCCTAGCACCAGGACCATGCCTGGGTCTTACCAAGGTTAGTCACAATGTGCATCCCTCAGGTTGTTTGATGTAATGACTTATCTAACTTCATATTTCCTTCCTTAACTAAATTCACGAAAAGGTGCTGGATTTTCAGCATTACTTCACTGTAATACATGCCTTTCTTATTTATATGTCACTGTTAGATATGTTCAGCGTACAAATTTCTAACATCTCCTCGTGGCATCTTTTTCATGGCTTCAGATTTTAGACATGGCCGGGACACGTACTTTAGTAATGCTTGGTCTAGGTGACTTTCCTATGGAGTGGATATTACTGGAATTAATCTATGTGATCACTGAGCTTTTAAAAAAGTCAACCAACGTGACCAAACAACCCAGTAAGAATGTAAGTGCAACTTTTACTTCCCTGTTTTTCATAAAGAGTTCTATCACTAAAACATTACAATAGCTGTTATGCATCTTTCGTCATGAATGATGCTGCACTATGGCTTCTGTACTTTATTGTATCTACACTATGGCTTCTGTACTTTATTCTGCCTGATGATGGATGATTTTTAGCATATTTCTATATTGTTTTCAGATGACATTAGTTTGCCCCAATTGACTATAGATTTTACCTATAAATACATAGCCACCAGATATGATGTTGCAGCTATCAAGAAAATTATGCACATTTTTTATGACAGGGGAACTCCCTGTCATGATAGGTTGTTTAGCTTATTGAACATTCCACCATAGAATGGTATTTTTTCGACGCAAATAAATCTAGGTCCAAAGAAAGGTATATATAAATACATGTCTTAGCCATCGTTTGACAATTTGTGTGCTAATATTTTCCTTCTGCTTAATAATAGGAAAATCAACTGCTACATAGCAAAACGTATGGTGTCCTACTTCATGGTACGCAAACAGACGTTTCGTCAAAAAACAAAAAAATGGTGCCTTCTGTTTTTCTTTTATTTGTTAAAGTGTCGTATTCTTTATAGCTGCTGTTTTGCACGCTTATAGCTGCTCTTCTTTCAAAAAACAGGCATTCGTGCGATGATGGGTGACCACGCCTCCGATATTTTGTCATGCATGTTGTATTCGTTTGGTTCATATACCAAGATTGTTTCTCTTTTGATTGCTAAATCATTGGCATCAACGACTCAGAATAGCCTAATAAATGAGCTCTCATTTTTGTTCTCATTTTTGTTCTGTTATGTTTTTCGTAGGCTCCGTTTGGTATAGCTCCCACCGGTTCCACTTCCGTGACGCATGCACCGTTCACAGAAGCCCCTTTTCTCTCTCCTCTCACAAAGCCCGTAAAGCCAGGTAAAAGATATCATTTCAAGACTAATCTGTATACGTGTGAAACATTAGGTTCTATAAGCTGTCCAATTTCCATTCTTTCTTTATATACTTCAAAAAAGGTAACTGAAGCTTCTACGATCTTTTTTCATCTTATAATTGACGACTATGATAACTCTTCTCAGCAATTCCTATTCTGCCTCCTGCCCGCGCAACGCGCGGGAGGGCTGACTAGTTTTATCTCTTGTTGTTGTGTAAGAAGAGGTACAACACATAGTAGGCTGGATGTCCACCTCGCAGCGCAGTCCCATTGTCAACTATTCCCTCCCTCATCTATCCCTCTTTATGGATTAGCTACACGACAGCCATTATATTACGAAAACCACAGAGATGGATTTTTTTTGAATTACACAAGTATAGACGCAGATACTCAACACACACGCGCACTCACCCCTATGAACATACATACGTAAACCCTACCCCTACGAGCACCTTCGAAAGACTGTGTTGGCACATCTCGAGATTAACGAAGTCACCACATGCGCCTCACTGTCGACGGGAACGTCGCCTACCACTGAAAGCACAACGCCGTTAAATCCTGGAATAAATTTAGGAAAATACGAGCACCGATGTCAAGTCGAGGATTTGAAACTGGATGGACAGGTTCCCCTACGGAACCCAACCAACTAAACTAATCTCCGCTTATCCCATTGACCAAATAAAAAATTCAGTCCACGCCCCTCCACAAGTTGCTAAGCTTGTGAATGAATCTGTAGCACATTGAAGTAGTACTTACCATTTATTTTATCTTCTTGATACGCAAGAAGTACAACAATAGGCTGGATGCGTCACGGTCCATGTCAACAAATCCTCCTCAGTCCCTCTCGTGGAATACGAGTAGAATGTAGGGTTAGTATCCGAATTTATCGTGCGATGTCATCTAGATACCTAAACTCTAAAAATGCATTTTTAGTTTTCCAAACTTATCATAGGTGTCATGCGGGTCTAAAACTCTTAAATGTAATTTTTAAATCTAAAACTATCATTGATTGTTATCTAGGTCTAAATGAGCTCGAATTTGCTCTACACCTTGACGCCTATACCATGATGAATCCCCAATGGTTCACTTGTTAGATTCCACGTGAGGAAAGGGTCCACAGGCATGCTGGGCACTCCATCTCCATGCTCGCGCATATCTATCCCCCTGATCATGTATATTTCATATAACCAAATAAATCCATTTTTAGTATAAATAAGGCGCCTATAAGTCTCGTTCGCTTTAATGAAAAAATAAGTCGAAACATTGCTCCGCTAATTTGTTGTGAGAGAAAAAGACTGATTCGCCTGAAAAAACAAGCTGAAAAGTATAGATTATAAGAGAAACAAAGAGAGAATGAGCCTTTATTAGAAGAAGACAAACCAAGTGTCGTTGCAACTGGGGTAATCTCAACGGAATAATTCAGCTAATTAGGCCTGTTTGGAACGCAGGAATAAAAAACACAGGAATAGGAAAAAATATAGGAATGAGGTGAGTGTGTAGTGGTAAAACAGAGGAAAGAAAAAACACAGGAAATAACTAGAAGGAGTGTTTGAAACACAGGAATCTATAACACAGGAAAAACGCAGGAAGTAACAAAGAAAAAAAAAATAGCAACATGCTTCACTTGCGTTAGCTGAAATGTTTGGGTCACTAAGACAGACTGCGGTACGCTCCCTTCTTTCCTGTTTTCTTCACGGGCAGTGCATCGGGCATACGCAAAGGAAACAAACCAAGAGATCCCAGTAGATTTTTTATTTCCTGTGAAATGAGCATCCAACTACAGTAAAATGGAGGAAAGGAATCGATTCTTTCTGTGTTCCAAACACTCCAGTCAACTTCCTTTCCTTTGGTTTTAGTTCCTACGATTTTCCTTAAAAATTCCTTTGTTCCAAACGCCCCCTAAGGTTGTTAAACAGCTTAGCTTTGTGGCTAGAAAGAAAGTCAAGTCAAGGGCGCGGCGACAGGTCAGTTGGGTGGCATGTCCCTAGACCCTAGCTAGGATATTAATGGCAGGAATTTTCTTTGAACCTCTTGCCAAACACGTACTAGTTTCGTTTTCGTTTGAGGTTACAGCACGTACTAGATCGTTAGACGAGCCGGTTCCCATGCGGTGCCGACAAGAAACTCACTCTCTTTTATAACATAATAACATGCGGTTTAACATGACAGGGTCTTATAGATTACATTTCACTACTTATTTATTTCTAGAGTTAAATGTATCTCTAAACTTGTTAAGGAATTTACCTAGGTCCATGAACTTTGAAAAGAAGTTTATGTGTCTGCAACTTGTTAAATAGTACACCGGAGTGATGGGTAAGGTCTAGAAATGAACCTGCATGCGGTGCAATATTTAACAAGTTCATGACCCAAAATGCGTTGCAAACAATTTTATGGATCTAGAAATGCACTTTCAAGATTCGTAAATCAGTGGCACCTCTTAATAAATTCAGAGGCCGCTTTGTTTAGAATAATCGTCGTTGTATCAGACTCACTGCAAGTATACTAACTCGTTGACTCTACCTAATAATTGGCTAATACTACAGGAAGAAGCGTAAATTTTTTCACACGGTTAGTTGCATGTTGCCATCTCTCGATCGGAGTAGTTGCAAACTCTGTTCCAGCTTTATGTTCATCGGACTGGATGACGACTTGATTCAGTACGTAGCTGTCAACGTCTACATGCATGATTGGCTGTCTTCCGCTTGGAATTGATACATGGACTAAAGTTTAAGAGATATCTTATAGGATGTCACATGTGGTGTCGTATGGGGTGTTCGGATACTAACAAAAAACAAATTAAAGAATCCACCAGTAATCCGCGAAACGAATTTATTAAGCCTAATTAATCCATCAATAGTGCATGTTCACTGTAGCACCATGTTATCAAATCATGGACCAATTAGACTTAATAAATTTGTCTCGTAAATTAATCTCAATCTATGTATTTAGTTTCGTAATTAATTTATATTTAATACCTCATGCATATTTCAAACGTCCGATGGGACAGCGACTCAAAGTTAAGTCTAGCAGGTGGAACTAATCATCTCGACTGAGTCTGATATATATATATACACTTGATTGACACCCTCCTACCGTCGACGGTCGATCGAATACATATATATTCAACCATTCTTCAGCGACCAAACTCACCGATCTAACTCTCCGTGTGTGTCTCCGTCGTCCCATCCCCGAGCAGGCCAGCCATGGCGACGGCGGCGTCCCGCCTGCTCCAGCTTCTGCGCCGGCCAGCCACGAGACGCAGCGCCCAGCCACGTGCGTGTCTCTCAACTCCCTCGTCGCCTTCGCCTTTGCCGTCCCCCGGTGTGCAGCTGGTGGAGGAGGTTGAAGATGCAGCGCCCAGCCACGAGGTCCGCGACAATCCTCCTAAGGACCAGCCGGTGGTGGACGACGTGGCGGCGGAGGTCCTGGGGCTGAAACCTCCTCCAAACCCCAGCCCCCAGCCAAAGCAATCAGACGGCCAATTCAAACATCATGGGGTACCACCGGCTGAGCATGGTGGTGGCAGCCATCATCACCACTGAAATAAAAGGTAATCCTGTCTCGGAGGAGAATGAAACGTCGTTCAACAGAAAACTTTTGATTAATTCCTAGAGCTTTCTTAATCTTGCGTCCTGTCCTGTCTTGATTTGATGTTGTTGGATGAAGGAAGACTGGAAGAGGACCTATTGCTGTTGCTACCTTGTCGATCTAGTTATCTGGCAGGATCTGTGTCGTTTGAACTACTATTTGAGTGTGGGAGTCTGTCCGTGCGGACACTGCTGGTGGACAATATATGCCTACTTCGCCGTTCTCTCTCTTTTTCAGTAGCGATGCTATGGGCGTGTTTGGGACCGCGGTTACCCACCACGTAGTGCGGTACATGTATCGCGGCGCGAGGGCTGCGGTGCCGAAAACGTAGAAGCCAGTTCATTTGTGCTGTTCCGATGCCGTGTGCGGGGAAAAGAATCATCGCACCGTGGGAGCATTTGGCACGATTCTCGGATTGTTTTCACCGCCGCCGCAAGAAACGCGGTCCCAAACACACCCTATATATGGTGTGATCATGCATGTAATCAATAGTAAGATTCATGGTACTATCCACTATGGTCATGATATCGTCTTGAGTTGAAGGGTCGAAGTCATGGTTGTGTGTTTGGTGTTCCTTATATAAAAAATTTGGTTTCTAATAATCGTTATATGGACATATTTCTGATTGGATGTCTCAGTTTTCAATGTCGGATCTAGATATTCGATATGTCAATTTCATTTCTGGCCACTCTCATGGATATTAGAATAATTTTAAATGATTTGTTGGTATATGAGTTGTTAAAGTAATACTTTTTTACTTTTTACACTCGCAAAAAAAGTAATACCTTTTACAATTACTGGATATAGAAATATATATTATATTTATCGCTCATGCATGTAGTAACCCTCACAATACGTGCTAGAAGAAATAAGATAAATCCTATAAAATTCTCGTGGAAAATAAGAATGATAAAGCTGTCAAGTCGGTACATTCTGATTCCTAATAATAATAATCATAATTTTTCCTGTTTTTGTTTTTCTAAAAAATACCAACCTTTGTCATTATAAAAGTCACAAAAAAATAATCACAGAAAGCTCCAACTAAATTACCCACATCATCTATGCCTTTATGAAACATAATCTAAAATAACTCCTAAATTTGTAACTAAGTTACACAACATTGCTATCATGATACATAAGTTAGGTAAACCCTTAAATTTGTGTCTAAATTATCCACTTCTATCACTCTTAAGCTTAAACTAAGGAGTAGGGTAGTATTATGGCTTGTTTTAGTAGCCTAATATACCCTCTAAGATATAGCAAAAGTGGTTTGGGGATTGGATCAACGGTTTAGACGTCTCGAACGCTTTAAAATCCGTGCATAACATGAACTCGGGCCGTCTTCTTATGTTGGGTGCAGTCACCCGGTGTCCTGCTCCGATGTCGGTCTTGCGGGCGCCTGCTGCAAGCGCCAAGACATGGCCACGCTGGCGGTTGTTGCTGCCGCCGCTGCAGCGTGATGGGCACACCGCTAGCCGCCAACCATGCGCCGCCCGCTATGCTTATCTGCGCCGGCCGCCCTACCACTGCAGCGCGTTGCCGCCGCCGCTGTCACCGCCGCTTTGGCTTGGTGCGCTAAGCGAGCCGCTGGACCTACGCCCTGCCGCTCTGCCTCGTACTACCGTTTGGGAGCCGCCGTGGTCGCGCTGCACTGCTCATCGCGTCCACACTGTCGGCGCTACTCACGTCGCGACACTGCCGCTGTCGTCGCGTCCGCGCTGATCTGCTGCACCTCTGTGCTTTTGCCAGCCCTGTGCGTGTCGCCTTTGCCACGCGCACGGGCGAGCCACCTTCGCCACGCCATTTATGGCACTGCGGCGCGCAGGCCACACCGGTCGGACGCGCGCACGCATTGTCCGTAGCGCCGACGCGTGGGCCTGCCCTACTCGCCGCTCGCGTCCCGCCAAGGCGTGGACGAGCCTAGACCACCTAGCATGCCATCTTTCTCTTTCCCTCTTTCTCCCTCTGTTTTTCGCCGCTGTTGCGTTGTGTCACGGTGAAGCCAGAGAGCGAGCACCTCTCATCAATTCCTCGTGCTCGCGTCTCTACCTTCACGCTCCCTCTCTAGCTGACCCGACCCCACCTTGACCCACGTCATGTCGAGCTCTAATTTTGGAGCTTTGCCCACCGCCGTGCCATGAAGGCCCGTCGCCGCCCGCATTGTGGCCAGTCTCCACCACTTCATCCTGCGCCAATTCCTCTGCACCATTAGCTAGCCTTTGTCTCCCTCTTCATCGTGCACATGCTAGTCGCAGCTCTAGCGCCGCCTCATCGCCACTGACGTGGTCGTGCCTTTGCGATGTACCGTTCACCTCGTAGCGCACACTGGCCAGCCTCGCTCAGTTGTCTCCGGCCGAGCCGGCTTCTCGGTAAGGTCACTGGTGAGTTGTCGTTGCTCACCCGCTACCCCTACTGCCTTGTTGTTGCTGCTCGCATGAACGCCGTCGCCATTGCCGCAGGGTGCCTGCCATCGTGGAGAGGTCCCTCTACGGTGTCCTAGCTCATGCAACCGACGCCCATCGTTTCACGTTGAACCCTAGGTGAGCCTCGGCCTCGTAGATCGGTTAGCGCGGGTCCCGTGTGGCCTGGCGTAAGCGCTAGTGCCACCGCTCGCCGTACCAGAGTGCGCGGGGATGGCCGAGGGCCTTGCCATTGAAAAGAGGTGAAAGATCCGAGGGTTCGGTTGCAAAGTCACTATCTATAGAAATATTAACGTGGACTGCAGGTTGTTTTGCTCATAGTCCAGGGGCGTTTTTGCAAGAGTGCCGGCGCGCGCGGGCTTCCTCGTTGTGGGCCGCCACCGCGCATGGGCCGCACCTCGCTTGTGGGCCATCGCGCGCTCGCGCGCGCGTGTTGCACCTCGTGGGCCGCGTTGGGCCAAATTGAGTTTATCTTTTTTCATGGAGAATAGAAATAGCTTTTCATTTTAATTCTGAGCTGAACTTTGGTAAATCATATAAAATCATGTAGGTATCCAAAAATTATGAAACTAATTTTGTTAGTTCCTAAAATTGTGCTCTATCTGTTGGTGTATTTAGTTCATATATATTTGCTGATATTAGGAACTATTAAATCATTTGAGAGTGCTTAATATTATTAGGTTAAATATTGTAGGAATTTTTGTGGCAATATGGTGATAGCTATAACGTTTAAAAATTTTACAGTAGCTTCATGGTATTATTATGTGCTCACTATAATTTTTGTAGCTTTAGAATAGACTTAACATAAGGGTAGTTAAATGTTCTTTGTTTCAAATATCCATAAAATCGTTAGTAGAAATAGAGATATATCGTTCAATTGTAAAACTAGGTGTTTGTTAGTTGAACGCAACACTTTACTTGATGAAGATGATAGTTAGCTTAGTATCCTATTCATTAGAGCTAGCTTAGTAGTTTAACATGTGTACTCTTAATTTAGGAGCTGCTGTTGCTAAAATACTAAGTGTTACATCATCATCGCATGCATGTAGAGAACGAGTTGGCGAAGATCCTAACCATTGAAGACCATGAGTTCGAGGAGGTGATCGAGGAGTACGAGAAGGAGATCCTCGTACAGGAGGAGATCCCAGAGGCTCCACTGACTGACTGAGCTGACACCGCGCCTACCCAAGGCAAGCCCCGGTGCATAACCCTTATTTTGAATGATCACTGGATATATATATGTGATGTGCATTTATGTTACAGGATTTATATTGAAACTACATGCATAGATATACTTACCCAAGAGTCCTACTAGCATAGATCGAGTAGCTGCTATGCTTAGGCTATCGGTAGTGTGAGTAACCTGCCGTTACTCACAATAGGTGATTATTATTATCACTCTCATGATAAAATGGTGAAAAGAAATGGAGACCTGGCAGGGATATGGTACGAATATTGGTGGGTGTAAGAGGTTGTGTCCTACGACCAATGGGGCATAGCTTGGTTACACTATTTTCCCTATCCGTGTCGGTTAAGGACCGGCCATTGCATTGGATTCTGGTCAGGTCACAGACTTATTATCCTGAGCACATACTTGTTTATGGGAGGAGGGAAGGCTTGTTGCTCTCTTATCGTGGGTTCTAGCTCTTTCCGGACCGACTGATTGGAAGCGGGGATGGTGGAGGTCTAAGCACCACACTGAGTCCGGGACTCAGGTGTGGGGGCTTGGAGTCCAAGTTTGGACGGGGACCTAGACCCCTTGACAGGAGAGTGGTGGGTTGGTCCTGCTTATGCCTGGGGTACAAGCGGGCGTGTGTTTTAGGGTACCCAGCTGGGTTACATTGATTCATGAATCGCAGTGTAATACGGTACGACTTGTCTACGATCTAGCACCATAGTAAGAACTGGAAGATGAAAGATAGTGAAATGGATCTAATTGCTGAACTATTGCTTGAAAGTAGAACATGTGCTTACATAGAATGGCTAGATAAATGAACTAATCATGACTGCTAATAAGAACATCCATAAGGATTCACTACTAGTAAGGCTTTTCGTAAAAAGGAAACCCCTCAAACTATAAAGCTTATCATATCCTTTGGAGTTGGGAAATTATTCTCACTAGTCGAGTAAGTCTTACGAGTATATTGTGTACTCAGGATTTATTTACCCCTGTTGCAGGTGCAGCTTGAGGAGTGACTGTTGTGTGGAGGATTCTTCTGGTCGGCACAGATGGATCCTTGTATCTTATCGCTAGATGTTTATTTCAATTCTGTTGTTTAAATTCCACACTCTGAACTTGGTATTGTAATAATATATTTCTGAGAACTCTTGATATATGAAATGGACTAAGTATTGTAAACTCATTCTCATTATTGGACCATGGAGGAAAAACATGGAATGTTCGAGTTCTCCCTTGGGGTGTGCTCGACGGAACCATCCGATATAGCTTGCTTTCGGGGTGCTTAGTGTCTGGTGGAAGACGAGCGCCTCCGAAGGTGTGTTATTTCGGGCAGTTTTGCCACATATCAGTGTTG